GCAATCTACCCTTACATGTCATGTTCTCATACAATGACTACAACTCACATTAGGATTGTACTTTGCCTTCTTTTTGAACTTTTGTTGCATGTTCTGAATGTTCCCCTGTTTCTGAGGAGTTCCCCATGATTTCTGAATATTGTTCCTTTGATTAAACTTCCCTTGAGGTCCTACCATAAAAGATGCACCATCTGTTGGATATTGTGGGCTAACAAATATTTTCCTCTGACTTTCATCTTGCAGTAGGATGGAATAGGCATGATCCATATTTGGAAGTGGGCTCATCATGAGGATATTGCCTCTTGCATGTGCATACACATCATTCAGTCCCATTAGGAATTGGATGACTCTCTGATCCTCTAGGAACTTGGCTACCTTCTTCTTCCCTTCACACACACAGGTACAAGTGCAACCTAGATGTGAGTTCAGGGAATCTAACTCATCCCATAACTTTTTCAGAGTTGTGAAGTATCCTGCAATACTGCTATTTCCCTGAACTGTCTTAGCAATTTCCTTTTGTAGGTGGTAGAGTTTGGCTCCATTGGATTGTCCAAATCTATGTTCAAGACTATTCCAAAGTTCTTTTGCAGATTTGGAATAGATTACACTGTCTCCTATCTCCTTAGTTAGAGAATTTAAAAGCCATGAGGTTACCATGTCATTGCACCTACTCTATTGTGCATGATCCTTTGAATCCAAGGCAGGTTCATCACAAATCCCATTGATGAACGCCAGCTTGTTTTTGGCTGACAATGCAATTAGTATTGACCTTCTCCATCCTGGGAATCCTCTTCCATCAAAAGGTGAGGTCACAAGAGTCATTCCAGGAGCATCTGAAGAGTGAAATAGGGATGGTTGACATCATGATTGACTGCTTGACTTGTTGATCCAGAAAGAGAAGGTGTTACTGAAGAATCTGTTCCAGTCATGGTGATAGAACAAGTTGAGGAAAAGGAAGAAGATTAGAAGATGAAGTTCAAGAATAGAGCAGAGATCTGCTCTGATACCATGAAAGAATGAAAGAGCTGATGATGCAGAAAATTTTTCTCTTGTTTTGTATATTCAATACTGTAGCTTCTATATACATCTATAGCATATAGATACATAGAATGTATATATAATATTCCTAGACAAAAACATTTTTTACTATGTGAGTCCATACTCACTTTAGTGTATCAGCACTAATACAAATGTGAGCATGTGCTCACTCATGTGTATGACACTAATAAATGAATGGCCCAGACGTGTTTATGTCTTCTAATCCAATGGTCAAGATTAGATCTCCTGATTTGAATATCAAGGGCTATTATGCTGCCACGTCATGCTCCACTTTGATTGAATCATCTGCCTGAAGCAAATGTAACGTTGTTGTCTTCTTCTTCTTTGCTTCTTCTACTACAGTGGTATCATGGGGGTTCTGTTCTTCAACATAACTCACGATCAAACTGACATATAGGCGAAAACAACAAACATAACTGTTTTGGCTAATCATGGAGACAATAGGGAAGTTCTAATCCAACATATGTGAAAAGGTATAGATCTATTTCAAATCATAAAATTGAAGAAAACTTGATCGAACAATGAGTCATGTGCTATACAGCTCACTGGAAGGCATAGCTATTAACATTCAATTCTAAGAGTAATTGCCTAAAATGGTTCTAAGATTAATTAATACATGATTTTGGAAATAACTTGATCATTAAACCATCCTACTTCATGTGTAATCCTAAGGAAACAAGCAAAAATACTCAAAGGAGCTGTTCATACACGTACAGGCATACAATTCTTAGAAAGCAAGATCAAAATACACTTCGACATGAACTAAGGATGCAAATTGGTAACTTCAACTGAGCTCATGAACAAGTAGATGGCTAGTACGGTTGGTCCATTGGAAAATCCATAAAAATGAGAAGACACTCCAAGCAGATGTACTCTGAAGAGTTATGGAATTACAGTTCTGTTATGGGAAAAAGATATTGATTTTTGAAATTTCAAATAATGATGTTATAAGTTATAACTGGTTTCAAACACCTCAAAAACAAAGATGAAATTCAAATGGAAAATGATCTGGAATATCATTAGTAGAGGTCGTAAGGGAAGGGGATTATTAGCTAGTCAATCATTTTGGCACATTAAACAAGGGAAAATGGCATGTCAAACTAGCACATATAAAATAACAAACCAAGAGCGACAAATAGAAACGGTCAAAGACAAACGAATCGAGGCATTTAATAAGCCAGAGACGAATCGATTCAGCCCAGAAACTAGATTAAAATCCGAACATTTCAGTTTTCCATTTACGCATACTCAAATATTTTAAACGTCAAGCAGATTAGCAGATGATAAAAGCAAATTGACAAATAGCATTCTCGAGCACAAATCGCAACTAGAAACTAACTCCAAACACAACCTCTACTAAAATACGATCAAATATCTATCACTACAGAGCGCATTCCCTACGGCTCATATCATATTTCGATCACCATTAACAAGAATGAGAAGGAAAGAGGTGAACCTGAAATTACAAAATTCTTCAATTAAGTTCGTTCGAAATTGAATACAAGTGAACTCGCACTGAGATTTGAAGTAACAGCAGCAGACAAACAGGAATCGAACCAGCAACACAGCCGCACAGGAACCAACGAACAAAAACCTCTCGAGCAGTTGACGAACCTCAGCTAAACTCCATTTCTTATTAAACAAATCGGAAGCTGATATATATATTTTTTTTAGGTATTTTTTGTTTAGAAAATCAAAAGAAAGACTAATAGAGAGCTCTAAGATTTTTATACGCCAACGAACTGAAAATTGGAATGGAGAACCTAAAAATCAGAAAACCCTAGCCCCTCTTCTTTTTCCCCAATTTTTTTCCTCCCCCTTTTCTGTCCGAAAAACATCAAATATATAGCTCTCTCTCGAGCTTCTCCTTCTTCAGCAAGAAGTCATGTGTGGGGACCTCAAACAAAAATTCGAATCATCCTTTGCAAACAAAAATCAGAATATAGAAGTTTTGGATCAAAAAGTCATTCCAACGGCTCCCATTTTCCAACATCTATCCAAAGGATCCAGATTTTCATTTAAACAAAGTAAAATAAGAGAAAAAAATGTGCGAATCTATTACCAATGATGAGGGGGACTATAAGGGGACCAATGCCTACGTGGAAGGGATTTCCGGTGGGTTTGGAGGTGTTGTAGCGCGGCATAGGTGAAGAGAAGGGTGTGGTGTGGCTGCTTTAGGTTAGTCTCCTTAGGGTTAGGGTTTGGAAGATATGGCTTTTATATGGTAAGGGATTTAACATGGACCTCTGGATTAAATTAAATCACTGGCTAGGATTAAAAGGGGATTTGGAGCGGGTCGGTTTGGTAAGGAAGTGGGTCGGCGGATTGGGTTCAGGGGTGTGGAGGTGTTGGGCCAAGGGTTACCTGAAATTGGGCTCTTTTGGGATAATTCAATGGAGAAAAATAAAAATCTAAAAATTAACTAGCTCAAAACTTTAGTTTTCCCCTCTAAAATAATATAAAATTCCCTCATGAAGGTGCAAGAATTATAATAAGTTGTATTATAGTATGAAACTATATATTTTAATATATCATATTTTATATAAATTAAAAAATAAGAGTGAAAATCATAGTAAAAACAAAAATATATGGCTATATAAATATTAATAACCTAAACTAAATAGAAATAAGATAAAACATGAAACTATATAAATATATATACATGAAACTATATAAATATATATATATATATANCATGGGTCAAAAATTACATGTCTACATTAGGAGCTGAAGAATCTTGTGTATTGTATTTGTATTTATGTGTATTTTATACAAAATTATACTCTTTAGTGTTTTTAACAAATTATTGTATTTTCTTCCTTTCTTAAAAAAAATATGGTATACAATTTTGTATACTTCCTCCTTATGAAACCAAGTAAAGTGGACACTTTCTCCTTATCTAAAAATGGATTCAAACCAAGAAATTTGGCGGTGCAACAAAATATGAATCCAAATGAACATAACACAAATACAACGTCCATGAATAGCAACCAAAATAATAGGTTTGATCGAGTTAGGGACGAGTTGTACATATCTTTAGGGATGACATCGTATGATAGTTTGTTGAATGAATACGAAGGGGTTGATGTTGATTCTCATGGCAGTTTCAACAATGTTGTGCACTTAGATGATGAAGAACCCGATGGAAAATATCACGGAGAAGCTAACGATGATGAGGAGCAGGTTTTAGGAAATGAGTTAGAGTTATGTGATGTTGATCGGGAAATGGAGAATAAATTCACTGAAGAGGATGTGGTTGTAGGTCCAATCTCTGGAATGTGATTTAGAGATAAAGATTCTTTGTTTGCATTCTACAAAGAACATGCACGACTGAAAGGATTCTCCGTCGTCAAAAATTTCAACAAGAAGGATGGTGACACTGCCATGTACATAACTTACTGTTGTGATAGGTCTAGGATTCGAAAAACCAATTTTACCACCAAGAGTAACAATTGTAAAGCTAGGCTAGCTGTTGTTTTGGATGATTCTGGTTGTTGGCGCGTCTCTAAGGTCCTTCATGATCACAATCATGATTTGCTCTCATCCGTATCGTGCCTGATGGCTGGATATAGGTCCGTTTGTGATTCTTTGAAGAGGGATCTTGTAGCTCACGATGAATCTGGTATTAGACCCTCCAAGTATATTAGACTTGCTGAGGTTCAACGTGGTGGACCGCAAAATTTAGGTTGCACTCCAAAGGATTGTAGAAACTTTATTTTGAAGAGTAGGAATTTTGAAATGCAAGAAGGGGACATATAGTCGATGCTCAACTTTTTTTGTGAAATACAGGTAAAGGATAGGGAGTTTTCAATTCGATAGATGTTGATAATATTGGTAGGATGCGAAATGTGGTATGAGTGCATTCATACTGTAAGGCAGCGTCTGAGCAATTCCATGATGTGATATGCTTTGATACGACATACCTTGTGAATCGATACAATATGCCATGTGCTACATTTGTTGGCATCAATCACCATAGACAGTCCATCTTACTGGGATGTGCTTTCATGTCTCATGAAGATATCGATAGTTACAAATTAGTTTTTAGAACTTGGCTTGAGGCCATGGGAAATGTTCATCCAGATGCGATCATAACTGATCAGTATCAGAGCATTAAGGTAGCCATTGCTGAAGTGATGCCAAATACAATACATAGGTATTGTATTTGTCATATATTTTCAAAGTTGCCTCTTTACTTAAGTGGTGTTCGTCCTTCTAAAATTGCACGTGGAGAATTTAAATCCATGGTCCTTGATAGCATTACTATTGAAGTTTTTGAGAGAAAATGGACAGAATATATTGCAAGATATAATTTACATACAAGGAATTGGTTCAACAAGCTTTATTCTGAGAAGGAAAATTGGGTTCCTGTGTACCTTGATGTGTATTCTTGGGCTGGTATGCTATCTACGCAAAGAAGTGAGGGGATGCATATGTTCTTTGATGGATATATTACCCATCAAAGCACTCTTAGGATCTTTGTTCACCAGTATGAGTTAGCTATAAGAGCTAAGCATGAGAAAGAGTTGGAAGCGGAATACAGGTCAAAGGGCTTTCAAATTGTGTGTGAGTCAAGGTTCAAGTGGGAGGAGTATACGCGTACAATGTATGAATTTTTCAAGACACAACTAATGAAATTGTATCATTGAGAAGTCAGCAGCCTCGATAATCATCCAGTTGTCCCTGGTGTTGAGAAATTCATCATTAGTGATTATTCAGTTTTTAAAAAAATGATGGAAATCTAGTTGAGTACACTGTTGAATATATACCTATTGGCAATTATTTTAGTTGCAGTTGCAAATGGTTCGAGTCTAGAGGGATACTTTGTTACCATATACTCAAGATCTTGTCGCACAAGAAGATTGATAAAATTGATGAAAGGTATATACTGACAAGGTGGAGAAGCGATGTTATTAGGCCACACTTGAATCGGTTCCATCAAGTTGGTTACCCAAACATGGCTCCTGAGTACAAGACATACAAGAGCATGTTGAAGTACTTTGACATGGCTTGTGATATAGCATTGGGCACTAGCGTGAAGGTTCAATGTGTTAAGCATAATTTGAAGAAGATGGTGCATGATCTTCAAAACTAGGAAAACGAAATGATCATGCCAAACCAAGACCAGGATGACTCAGATGAAACTGAAGGCACAACTCTACGAGATCCCCAGTACACTAATTCACATGGCAGGCCGCGTTTGAGTCTATATAGAGGAAGAATTGAATACTACTTTACAAGTTTACAGTCGTGTGGTGTATTTGGAGCTAGTAATGGCGCAAGAACTGGTGTTAGGGGGTGGCAGGATTGGAGCTGTCATTTGGTACGTGTGTGCAAAATTTCAGGTCATTCGTACATGGTTTGGTCGTGTTTTTTATCAAAAGTGAAATATAGAAGTTTTGGAAAATTAGGCTTGAATTCGATGTGTTTTGGTCGATTTGATGTTGTTTGAGGTATTTTTAAGATTAGTACAAGTTTGAATAAGGTATTCAGATATGTTCGTGCTTTTTGTTGAGGTCCCGGGGGCCTCGGGGTGATTTCAGATGTTTAACGGAGAAGTTTGGAATTTGTTGCAGCTGCTGAAATTGCTGCTTCTGGTATTTCTGCGGATTGGGGACTGCAGGTGCGGCACCGCATAGCGGAAGGGTGGCCGCAAAAGCAGAACTTGGGGAAGTCATCAGGAACTGCAGAAGCAGTTGGAATACCGCATCTGCGATGGCACAGATGCGGAAAGTTGATCGCAGATGCGGAGAGGGGAGTTTGAGTGAGGACCGCAGATGCGGTGGTTTGGACCGCAGATGTGGTACCGCAGAAGCGGCTATGGGATCGCAGATGCAAAAATCCCTGGCCAGAAGGTATATATTGCTTTCTTCGCGAATTTTTGCAAAATACTCCATTTTTGAAGATGGGAAAGAGGCTAAGGCATAGGATATCAAGAGGAATCAAAGGACATCAGTTGGGTAAGTTCCCTAAGCTTAATTACTTGGGGTTAAGATCATTTTTCCATTGTTTAATCATGGTTTTAGTGGAGAGTAAGGAAGAAAAATTGGGGATTAGGGCTTGAGATTAAGAGACCTTTAAATGGGGATTTGAGGGGTCATTTGGACTCCGATTTCAGTGTTCTTAATATGTATAGACTCATGGGAGGATAAGGATTCTGTTGATGTGATTTTTATGGAGTTTTGAGACGTGAGCCCAGGGGTCGGGTTTGGCCAATTTCGAGATTTTTGGTATTATTTGATTGTTTTCGCTTGGGCTTCGTTCCCTTAGCATATTTGGATGTCGTGTTTCTGATTTTGGATAGATTCGACACGAGTGGAGGCCGATTCGAGGGGCAAAGGCATCGCGGAGTAGTATTTTCACCGGTTTGAGGTAAGTAACCATTGTAAATCTGGAACTGAGGGTACAAACCCCGGTATTTGACTTGTTTTGATAAATGCGGCGACGCACATGCTAGGTGATGAATGTGTGGGCGTGCACTGGTAGAGATTGTGACTTGGTCCATCCCGTAGCGACTATTAAGTCGCATATTTAATTTGGAACCTTATGATATGCCATACTTTAGCTGTTTATACTATATTATGGGATGTATGATATGCTTGGGGCCTTGTGCCGACTTGTTGAGACCTTTAGGGGCATTTTTACTATTTTTCCTCACTTTACTTGTTGAACGCATAACCTCAGTCATGTTTTACCTGTTTAAATGTTTAAAACTGGTTTTATCACTCCATTTCTAAATGTGAGGACTGTTTGGGCCGAGTTCCCTAATTTCTATTATTGTGCCCGAGAGGTTGTGAGGTTAATGACTGAGAGAGGTTGAGAACCTAATAGTGAGGATATTATATGTATCTATTATGGATCGGGCTGCATGCCACAACAAAGCTTATATGGATCGGGCTGCACGCCATAGCAAAGCTTATATGGATCGGGCTGCACGCCGCATCGATATATATAATAGATCGGGCTGCACGCCACATCGATATATATACTAGATCGGCTGCACGCCGCAATGATATATATACTAGATCGGGCTGTATGCCGTAGCGATATATATATTGGATCGGGCTGCGCGTCGCAGCGATATGACGCTTGGGCTGTAGTAGCCCCTCCGGAGTCTGTACACCTCCAGTGAGCGTAGTCGACTATAAATTACGGATTGGGCTGCACGCCGCAGTGGTTACTATGATTTCTATTACTATGAGATATTAATGAGCCTGAGAGCTGAGAGTGAGTTTTGAGTGACGAGAGTTGAGTCACGAGTGACTGAGAGGCTGCCCGAGAGGCCATATTCTGAGTGATACCTTGCCCGAGGGGCTCAGTTATGATATTTTTACTGATTTCACTCTTCCTTTAAAATAAGCCTCTATTGGAAAAATTGCTAATTATATGATTTCAAGTGTTTAAACTGAAATTTGATGATTTTACGACGAAACTGGTTTTAAATTGTGAAGTTGACCTGTTATCCTATTGTTTTCTTCAGTTATATGATTTTTATCTGCTCTTCAATGCTTTCAGACCTTATTTACTTTAGTTACTTACTGAGTTGGCATACTCACGTTACTCCCTGCACCTTGTGTGCAGATCTAGGTGCCTGAGCGGCAGAGTGAGGGCCCTCAACATTGTTAGAGTTTGCCGGAGACTACAAGGTAGCTGCATGGCATCCGCAACCCTACTTTCTTCCTCTTTTCCTTATTTTCCCACATTTTAGACTTATTATGTATTAGATAGTCAGACTTGTATATTGAGAGGCTCTAGACTCGTGACACCAGATTTTTGGGCTGTTTAGTTTCCTGTTATTTGATTTCCGCATATTTCTTGTTGCTTTAAACGTTTATAATGAAATTGGGTATTTAAAACATGTGTTAGAAAATGGCTCATTGTTAAAGGAAAAAGGGTTGTGATTCGTTGATTGGTTGGCTTGCCTAGTAATGTGATAGGCACCATCACGACTGGTATTTGGGGTCGTGACAAGTTGGTATCAGAGCCTAGGTTACATAGGTCTCGCGATTCATAAGCTGGTTTAGTAGAGTCTCGCGGATCGGTATGGAGACGTCTGTATTTATCCTTGAGAGGCTGCAGAACCTTTAGGAAAATTCTTCATATTCTTGAAATTCTTGTTGTGCGAACTTGTTAATCCGAATATTAAACTTCTGTTATTCCATTCTCTCACAGATGGTGAGGACACGTGCTACCGGGCAGTGTGGACGACCACCAATTCCACAAGTTAGGTCCTCCAGAGGCCGAGGACGCGGTTAATGCCGTGGTAGCTAGGGCAGCACCTATAGATCTACCAGTTGCCCCAGTTCAGGATGAGGTACTAGTTGTGGACGCTACAGCAGCACCAGCTGTGCCCATTGTGATTCATGCCTTCATGAGGCTTTAGCTCAATTCTTATCAGTGTGTATCGATTTGGCTCAGGCGATTTCAGTTACTACGGTTGCAGTTACTTCTCAGGGCGGGGGAGGCACCCAGACTCCCATTGCTCGCACACCTGAGCAGGTTGTGTAGGGACTCCAGACACTAGGGGTACCTCCAGCCCAGTCGATTGCACCAGCTCAGGAGTTTGTGGTACCAGTTATGTCGGATGATGAGCAGCGTCGACTAGAGAGGTTTGGTAGACTCAAGTCTCCAACTTTTAGCGGTGCAGATGGCGAGGATGCCTAGGGGTTCTTGGATAAGTGCCAGAAGATGCTTCGTACAGAGAGGATCCTAGAGATCGGTGGTGTAGCTTTTACCACCTTTCAATTTTCCGGGGCTGCCTTCACTTGGTGGGAGGCGTATGAGAGGCGTAGGCCTGTTGGTGCAGTGCCCCTTACTTGGCAGCAATTCTCTATTCTCTTTCTGGAGAAGTATGTGCCATAGTTTCGTCGAGAGGAGCTACGCAGGCAGTTTGAGCAGTTGCGTTAGGGAGAGATGACTGTGATGTAGTATGAGATGCGGTTCTCCGAGTTAGACCATCATACGATTTGGTTGGTTCCCACAGATCGAGAGAGGATTATGAGGTTTGTTGATGGTCTCACATATTAGCTTCAGATTCTCATGATTAGGGAGAGGGTGACAGGTGCTACTTTTGAGAAGGTTGGTGACATCGCCCGTGAGATTGAGTCAGCTCGCCGCCAGGAGTGAGAGGAGAGGGAGGACAAGAGGCCTCGGGAATCTGGTAGCTTTAGTGGTGCTCCTTTGAAGGGTCAGTTCCAGCAGGGCAGAGGCTGTCCCTTCAGACAGGCTCATTCAGCTCCCCCAGGGTATCGTGGGGCATCATCGGGTCATGGTTCTCGCAGTTCTCATCAGGGCCACTCATCACTCAGTACCCTACTAGCCCAAAGTTCATTCCATGCTCCATCAGTGTAGGGTTCTTCCATGTCAGGCCTTTCTACTGGTCACTCCGGTGCCAGGGGTTAGCTTCAGTACCCATCTCCAGCACTGGGGAGTTGTTATGAGTATGGAGAGTTCAGGCATATGAGGAGGCAGTGTCCTCGTCTTCATGATGGTCAGTCTCAGCGAAGGGGTCAGCCCTCGACTTCTGCTCCAGTTACTTCACCACCCGCCCAGCCAGTTAGGGGTGGAGGTCAGTCAGCCAGGGGTTGCCCTAGAGGGGGAGGTCGATTAGGTGGTGGTCAGGCCCGTTTCAATGCTCTCCTAAGTAGATCAGATGTTGTTGCTTCAGATGCCGTGATTTCAGGTATTGTTTCAGTTTGCCACAGAGATGCCTCTGTATTATTTGATCCAAGTTCCACCTTTTCTTATGTGTCATCATACTTTGCCCGTTATCTGGATATGCCCTGTAAGTCTCTTATTTCACCTGCTCATGTATCTACTCCAGTGGGCGATACTGTTGTCGTAGACCATGTGTACCAGTCATGTGTGGTGACTATTGGGGGTCTAGAGACCCGTGTTGATCTTTTATTATTATGTATGGTGGATTTTCGATGTCATTTTGGGCATGGACTGGTTATCTCCATGTCGTGCTATTCTGGGCTGTCATGCTAAGACAGTCACATTGGCTATACCGAGCGTGCCACAGATTTAGTGGCGAGGTTTGATTGACTATGTTCCCAGTAGAGTGATCTCATTCTTGAAGGCTCAGCATATGGT